CTCCTGAGATTGTAGCAGGTGATCCTTGAATATGAACCAACAATCTTGGCCCCCCCTGCCTTATAGGGCTATATCCCATGGAACCTTACTAAGGTTTTTCCTGAAGAGGCCGAAGTCTGCTCTCTTGAAGTCCAGGGCAGTGAGCTTGCTGCACGCTCTTCCCACTGTCCTGAGGATCTTGAACTCAACCATCTCGTGATCGCTGCATCCAAGGCTGCCCTAGAGAGTCACATTTCCAACCAGCCGTTCCCTGTTGGTGAGCACGAGGTCAAGCACGGCACCTCTCCTTGTCGGCTCCTCTGTTACTTGCAGAAGGAAGCTGTCTTCCACACAACCGAGGAACCTCCTGGATTGCTTGTGCCGGGCCGTACCATCCCTCCAACAGATATTGGTGGTTGAAGTCCCCCATGAGAACAAGGGCCTGTGAGCGTGAGGCTTTTCCTATCTGTCTATAGAGTGCTTCATCCACACAGTCCTCTTGACCAGGTGGTCTGTAACAGATCCCCGCAGTAATGTCTCCTGTAGCTGTTCTCCCTTTAACCCTGACCCACAAACTCTCTGTTAACTGCTCCCTCTCCCCAGACAAAGTTCCATACTCTCCAGTTTATCCCTAACATAAATAGCAACTTCCCACCTGCAGGGCCTGTCTTTTCTAGAGCCTGTAACCTTCCATTCCAACACTGCAGTCATAAGAGCCATCCCACCATGTTTCTGCGATGCCTATTACATCATACCCCCGTAGACGTGCACACATCTCTAATTCCTCTTGTTTGTTCCCCATGCTACGGGCATTTGTATAGAATATGATGGCGAGCGGCTTAGCAACTTCATTTGCCAGCTCCTTCAGGACCTGCAGATGGATCTCATCAGGTCCCATGGACTTGTGCACGTTCAAGTTCCTAAGATGATCTCAAACCTGACCCTCTCCTACAGTGGGCTTAAGGTCTTCATTCTCACAGTCCCTCCATCTGCCTTCTCAGACTTGAGTGGCATGATCAGAGCAGAGACTGAGGCAAAGAAGTTGTTGAGAACCTCAGCCTTCTCCAAATCCAGGGCAGATTACTTTTATCTGCTTTACATTTGAAATGGGACTTCCACAAGTTTTACTGGAAAACTATTCTGCAAGTGCACACTCCCTCTAGTTTCCTTTGGCAGTTTGCAAGCTATTACTGTTTGCCTTGTCCTTTCTGTCCTAACCATGAGCAAGTCCTAACCATGTCCTAAACCTGAATGGCATTTGGTGAAGAATTATTAAGCAGTGGCCACCCGTTTCTCCCCCCTTATATTCATACCATGCATGAATAATGAATACAAGGCAGAAAAGTATTCTTTCAGGACGCCATCTGAATCTCCATGGTATCAGTTCCTCAGAGAGGCCAGATATCTGCAGTAAATTAACAATGAACCAAGCTGCTTTTCTAACCAGTGATCTCTCCATAGCAATTCCAATCCACGCTGTGCACATGGACATCTGACCCATCTGAAATTTGCTGTATGCACAGCCAAAAGAAATGTTCTGTTTGCAGACCTTAGTGTTAACACTGCAGTGGAAATTTAACCAGTAATTGTGATGGTGAGCAAGTAAAAAAAATGTATTTCCACCCCTCTGCAGCAGTCATGGCTCTGCACCAGTGCCAGCAGCAAGCAGAAATAGCGTCCTTTTGGTTTGATGTGAAAGTAAACTAGAAGCACAGAGTGGAAACAAATGCGTTGGAGATGTGTTTTAGGAGGGAGATTGAACAGCAGAAACAAGCTGTCATGCAGCAGATAGTTTCAGTTATCAATTCTTGTTTCTGAACAGTTCCAGCTTCAAAATGCTTCAAACCTAAAATATTTAGTATATCCCAGTGATGAAAGGTAAGAAAAAAACATTCTTCTCAGCTGTAAATAAACTCTAGTCATCATATTTGTTTTAAAAGAAAGGAGACATGAAAAACAAAGCACAAAGGCCGGAAAAAGGAGAGGGTCTATGCTGAGAGAACTTTACCAGCAGAGTGTCACTTCTCCCCAGAGAAGACTGCTTTTGTGGGCTCTGGGAGCCAAAGTTTAGCCATGTTGTCCCACTTTTGCCATGTTCATTGAGATTCAGAGCAAAGCCCTGGGACTGAGCCATTGGCTAAAACAGATACCCTGTCCAGGGGCTTGCTTTCTAGGAGTAGTCATTGCTGAAGATGCTGGGGCTGTGAGGATTTTGTTGACTATTTGGAGCATTGTTTTGATTAAAGTGGGGTTTAGCTTAACCTCGGATAGGCTTTTGGCTAGCAGAACATGACAGGTTTGACACCATTTCCCAGGAGCTAACTCCATTGAAGCTGGTGTTCACAGCCAAAGGCAGAGGCCTGAATTTATTGACCTGGGAGACCATTTCTGGTTCTATATTCCTCTAAGACCAAAGGTTTCAGTGATGTGTTAGCCACACTGCACTACATGCACGTACATTCATCTGTCTGCGTATGTGTTTATTTCTTTTTGGCTCTGGACCTTAATCATTTGGTAGTAAGGAGTTAGAAATGTGTACTTTAAAACAAGCAGAATTTTACATTATTTACAATGCAGTAGCACTTAATACATGGAAGACAACTGCCAAACCTAAAAGTAGCCATTGCTATGCTCTTTAAAAATATGGGGAGCAGTATCAGGCAGACAAACTCATTCTTAGGTAACAGAATTAGAAAATTTATGTTATTCTATTTTGCTCTTAATAATGGGCTATGTTACATCAGATTTCTTTTATACAAACTTACTGAGATATTACTAAGTTACTGAAAATGAAATAGCACAAGAAAAGAACTGTCAGTCTGCTTCACTCATTTCCTATTTTGCTTCCCCTGTGAAAGGGTTGTATTGTTTCAAAAGGAAGGAGCCAGGCAGACCGGAGAACAAAGGCTCCTAATTGTTCGGGAGAACATTGTTACATTCCTAATTGATCTTCAAAGTCATGGACTTGCAGTGTCTATAGAAGTGAGGACTGCACAGAGTGGTCTAGACAAAGACCAGGCTTCAGACTAGTTGGGGTCTTGGCGGAGGAGAATAGAGTGTCTTTGAACTTAATATGGGAAATGAGGCATCACTTTCTAGAATCATTTAATGTTGAATGAAGAATAACAATCTGATGTCTCAAACTAACAGTTAGTCCATGTTGCTTTTCCTCCCATCAAATGAAGTGAAAACCTTACTAAGCCTTTTGGCTGATATTGACAAATACCTACAGTTCTGATTTTTCCCAATAGAAGTACAAGGTTTTCTCCCGATTGCTCTGCAATCTTACTAACCTTTATCACTAGTTTTGTAGCAAGTAAAAAACTGTAATGTTTACTAGAAATACCAGTACCTTATTGCAGAAGAAAACCAAGAATAATGACTCTTACCACTCAGCCTTTGGAAATAAAACAAACAAGCAGGAACTGAAATCTGCTTTTACCTATATCTATCCATATCCATGAAGTAGTTTGTTTCCTTTTCAGAGCTATCTCCCTAGACCACCTTACAATTTTTTTCATCTCTGAGCCACTTTGCTGCCAAGTGGTACATGTAAATCTATCTCTAAAAACCCTGTACAGAACTGCCTCGAGTGCTGAACATACCTGCTTCTGGTCTTTAACACGCCTTAAGCACACTCTGCTCTTCCCACTATCATCCGGGGCACAAATGATCTGGGATTCTGGTGTCTACAGTGTGCAGAAACAAATGTTGACCTTCAAGTATCATGCTAAAGCAAGACCATGAAAAGCTACACATAGGACTTAGCGTTTTCTCAGGCTTTTATACTGGAAACCTAAGTGGCAATGGGAGAAGACTGGAATTCTTTGTGTGCCTGACAAGCTGTATTATGATAACAACCCATAGCTGGGGTACCATATTAACCTGAAGAGCTGAAAATTTTGCTAGAGGAAAAGCTTCAGACAGACAAGCAACAAACAGAAAATTCAGGTCTTTTCTGAAATGTTACATTTGCATAACCTCTTTGTTTATAGCAAGCGCCTGTCTTGCTCTTGGCATATTTCACATTCATCTGCAGTCCCATCAGGATCCCTTGATTTCTTGGACTTCTATTGGAAGATGCAATAACAAGGAGCCATGGCTAGGGGACAATCCATGCACGGCACTTGCCAAAGTACAAGGAACATTGACAGTGTGCCTAGATGCATGACTGTATGACAGCCTAAATCAGGTGACAGCAACATAGGACTTACTGTCTTGTGAGGCTTTTATACTGGAAGCCTAAGTGTCAATGGGAGAAGCTTGCAGTAATACCCGCAAACACCCCTGCACCTCAGCAGAAGCACAGGCCATGTTGAAATACATGCTGCCACACTTTTAGTCCTATAAATGAGATCAGAAGCACAAATACGTTCCAGTGCTTCAGTCTTAACTTGGATTATATTGTAGACATAACTACAAAGTTAGCTGGGTGTAACAGCATATTCATCCCAGTCCTTCACAATACCATCCATGTGTTGACTCTCTATGACAGATGTCAGGGTGGCGTTGCTTTAAGAGCATTACCTGTACATCACCATCCTTCATTCACTAGAATATTTCAGATCAACTACAAAGTAGTATGTCGAATCCCAGTGGCAGTCAATTCCATAGGTGGCTGCCCCTGGGTTTATTGTGCCCAAAAGAGCTCTCTTTTAGGGTTGATACATGTTTTAAACACGGCTCATCACTTGTTGCTCTGTGATTTTGTATTTGGAACATAAATAGCATTGCATGCCTGCTGAGACAAGATCAGTTACTCCCCAAACAGAAGTAATTTACAATCATGAAAACTAGAGAAATAATCGTTTATAGCGAACTGCTGCTCACATATTCAATTTCTATTGAGGACCAAGGATTCATGTGGTTGTTTTGCCTTCTGTATATTTCAAAATTATCTTAATAATCAATAGATAATGCTTGTATTAAACCAATACTTTTTCCCATTCAGCACTTTTCCCACTGTTCCCAAACTCAGCCCAACTAAAAGTCCACTTAAAGGAGAGGAAAAGCACCCTTACCTGCCACACTGGCTCTGTGTGCTTTGACTTTGCACAGCTCTTGTAGCTGGGCTGGGAGGTTGCCTTCACATTGTAGATGGCTACGTTGCCATCATAGAAGCCCACTGCCATGAGGTAGGGGTAGTCATTATGGAAGTCCAGGCACATGATGCCACTCTCACTGCTGAAGATATACTCTGGGAAGGAGGGGTTCTTCATGGTGTAGAGCAGGAGCATCCCCTGGCTCTGTTTCATGAAGTCATCTAAACAAGGAGGAGCTTTGCTGTTAGATCAGTTTCCAAAATTCTCTATAATTTGACAGCACTCACCTATGCCTCACACCCATCTGAATGCAAAGACATTTTGGGAAGGACATCTGTCACAGGACCAAACAGTCTTGTTGGTGTGCCTACATCTGAACATCCTGTCCTCCACTGATATGCCATCCTCAGGACAAAGGGACAATGTGCTCATACAGAAGAACTACTGTTCTGGCAGTTTCTCCCTAGGAAAGAGACTTGAGAAGCCTTGGAGAAAACGTGCAGAGTTAAAAAGAATCTTGTGGGCACTTCTTTCTTTGGGCTACGATTTCACTAACATTGCAGACATGTAGGCTGAACCAAGGATAGTGGCATGTCAATTTCTATGTCGGCAATACTTGATATTACACTGCTTCTTCAAAAAAAACATTTCATTGAAGTATCTGTAAAGCATTACATATAACTGTAAAATGCACAAGTCACTACAGCTTTATTTTCTGCTTATGTCCAACATCTCCTCCTTGCTTGGCACAGAAGCTCTCATTTTTTGCCAAGACTTTCAATTTTCTTTTCTATTTACTTTAATCTTTCCTTTGCACTGCCTGAAATTAGCTCTCCCTATTCTGAAGAAGGCCATCTTTCCTTTGTGCTTTTTATTTTTATCATGATGTGTTATTGCCAGGAGGGGTTTGGTCTTTTGGTTTTGGGTTTTTGGGGGTTTTTGTTGGATTTTTTTCTCATCTAAATACCAATTTCCAATTTCTTTTAAAAGGGACAAAAAACTGTTGATGTTTTTCTACGTTGTTGATGTAAATAAGATCTCCAGAAGCAAAGAAGGAGCTTTCCTAATCTACAAAAACAATGCTTTCTGACAGCACCCTAGCTATCCCTCCACGTGCTTTTTCTTACTGTCAAATGCCCGCGGGCACACAGTATACAGCAAACAAATCTACTGCTGCCCGTGCTCCAAGTATCCACTCTACATCCTATTTCCAGAACAGTCATTTTCTTATAAAAGTGCTTCCTACCTTTCTTAACATTTTGACCAGCCTGCAGGATAAGGACTTGGTAAATGTGTACTCCAGTGATAACACCAACTTCAGACACCTCTCCTTGGCAGCAAGCTGATCCCAAATCAGCATGCAGGTACAGACTTTGCTTACCTCAAATATATCAGGGCCGCAAAGAAGACATTCAAAGAACCAGTAAATAAAAACACATCAACAAAACTATTACGGCTGTTTTGCATATTCTATTTTCACAGGTCTCTCTGTACATTTGAGCCAAGCAGGAGGAATGGCTTCCTTTTTTTTTTTTTGCAGAAAGGTATGATAGAATCATAGATTTCAGTGCTGATATTATTTTAAACATATTGGAATCCAAATAACATTTTTAACTTAGGGAAAGCTTATTTCTAGAATTCTATCTGAAAAGGAAGTGATTACACTTTCTCTAGCAGGAAGTATAATAAATTGTCCTTTCAATTCACAGAATATTTTTTTTTTCCTAGCCAAGTAATGTCACTGAACTTATATGAAGTTGAGCTTCAGCCATGATAAGGATGAATCCACTTCTCCTCAGGAGCAAAAACACTTGGGAGGGCTGTGAAAATGACCTACCAGGCATGACTCACAGCAGAATGAAGTCAAATTAGTAAGACAGCCTTTGAATTCAACCTATTTCATGCTCTTACTTCTCCTGGGGAGCACTGACCAGCCAGGCATATTTCCAAAAGGTCTCTGGTGCATATTCATTTTTGTACCTGTTGGCACTGTGCTGAGAAACCTCAGACAGCTGCTCCCCATGCTCCCTACACAGACAGCAGAGGAGACACTCCTTCTGAGGTTGATTCAGCCACCAAAGATCTGAATTGGGCTTTGGAGGTGCTCCTCTGTCCACTGATCTGGCAGTAACATAGGCCAGCCACATTCATTAATTAGAGATGATGGAGCAGGCCTTTACTGGGTAAAATAGTTCAGCAGCTTTAGCAAGTCCACCTGGATGTTAACCAGGCAGGGCAAAAGCAAGTTCTTGGGAAGAAGCTCTGGCAGAGTGAAACATGGGATTTAATTTGCAGACTAAGACACACATACGCAGGTCTATGTGTGGCTGTCTGTCTGAGCGCTCAGAGTCTAAGATCCTGTTACTATGAGTAGAGATCCATATATCCAACTCACTGAGCGTAGAAAACCCACCTTAAAGAAGATCCCTATATTGGGTCCTTTGACTTATTCTCTGGACTCCACTGACTGTAATGGCCAGTTCTCTACTAACTGCTAAACGCATGCAAATCCAGGATCTGAATCCTACTCATTATCTCCTTTATGTTATGAAATATTGCAGATGTGAGTTAAATCACAGATGTGTGAATAACGCACGTAAGTCTGAATAATATGATTGCTAAAGAACAGCTTATTTCTGGTGAAAGGCAAAGCAGTAGCAATAATCCACAATTAACACTGAAGCATGGAACATAAATATCAGTAAAACAATAACCTTCTAAGAGCAGGCATATAAATCTATTTCAGTAAAGGGTGAATTCTAACCCAAAGTACTAACTGAGACGTACCAAGATGTTCTTTAATAAATGAAGAAAAAAGAATGGAATTATTTCATTAGTGATATTCAATGTTCCAGGAATGGCAGGGACAGCACATACCCACAACAGCATATTGTCACATAGCTTTGAAGCATGGACTTTTCAAGAGAAAGGTGTTTCATTAAAAACTAGCAGAGCACTGCAGTGTGCCCCAAATCCTGTGTAGTTGGTCTGTCAAGACGCAGGTAGCTCACTGAACCAATGTTAGAAGACCACAAGGCACACAGCAAAGCAGAGGGTGCAGACCCAAGAGCTGGTAATGGCTACACCACTGCTGGAGGTGAAACCTGCAGCTTTAGATTGGAGACAACTGCTCTGAACTGAATGCATGCACCAGCATGTACTGAAAGAGCTTCTACCCACAAAATGCATACTGGTACATGGGCTGGAGACTAGAGATATTAGACAATTATTCTGACAATCAGCACCAGCAGGAGTTATTCTTCCCATCTACAGGACAACACAAGGCAGCACAGCAAGAAGAGGATGTGAACAGACTCTTGCTGTAATTAGGAAAAGTGCCTTGTCATGATGATCCTCAGCGTTCACCTGAACAAAGGTTAGATTTCAGATCCTGACACATAATTAGTATATGTGGGGAGAGAGGATGTAGATAGCATATTTTCTGGTCTCAGCCTGGAGAACTGAGCCTGTAAGCATCTCACGCAATGAGAAATAGATTTCAAACCAACCATTACCGCTATCTAAAATATCCATTTACATTTGCATTTAAGGCTGGAGAGATTCAACCCAAACCCCCAAACTTATTTTCAGAAAAACAGTGATTTAGTGTTAACATAGTACCTCAGAATATGACTGTGTTACCACCAAACAGTTCATGCAAAACAAAAATCTGAAAAGCATCTAAATCTTTCATTCTGATATGTCTGTTCTAACAGATTTTTCATTTCCACTTTTCTTTAGCTGAACTTAAAAGAATCAGCAAATGTTCAGTATTAGATCAAAATATGTTGGTTGATGGACCATGAGGTTTTCCTCCATTTCCTCCAAAATGATTAGTGGCTGAACCAGCATGCTCAATGCAACAGTATCTTCAAGTTGAAGCTACAAGGCTTGGGGTAAATACTGCATTCACATAGTAAATCTCCATGGTCACCACTAAAAGCTATTTTTACTACACAAAAAGCCAGTGCTACAGTTTCTTTTGTGATAAACTGGCAAATTTAAACTCTTCAGAGGATTTAAACCCCCCCAGACTGCACCCTTACATTTTAGATCCTGTGACACATTGTACATCAAGTCCACCAGCTGTCTTGCCTACATGGCTTGGGCCAAGAAATCACCCATGCTAATAGGAACCACTGCTGCTTAAAATATGTCCTTTCTCCTCTGAAAAAAAAACCAGTGAGATGGAGAAGCATGGCTGTGAACAGCTGCTTGTTTCTGAGCATCACAGCTGCACAAGCCCATCCACTCTCCTTTCTAGTTATGCCCACACTTTGAAAGCTTGCTGGCTGGAGCTCTACCCTTTAGGCTTGGATTACTAGAGAAGCAAAGGAAGGGGCTGGCTGTGCTTTATACCCAGTTAAGTGATCTCCTCTGGGGCAAAGAGATCAATTCCAAAAGCAAAATTTTGGTACCCAAAGAAATGGCTCAATCTGTTTACTTGTATTTCAGATATTTAAAATATAGAGGACAGGAAAAAGAAAAAGGTTGGTTGTAGGCCAGCATATTTCCTCAAGCAAATTATTATTATTACCCAGGTCTACATGACCCTGAGCCCAACCTAAGAATTTGGTTAGACAGATGACTGAACAAGTCACAAACTAATGAATTCCCAATGCTTTTTTTTTCTATCAGTGAACAAAAGCTGTGCAGCATGGCACCGAGCACAGGCTAATCTAACCCACTATGAAACATGCTGGCTGAGCTTGCACTGCTTCAGCAAGATTCTATCCTGGCTTATTTAAGTAGCTCTGCCAACTCCACACTTTGCTGCGGTTGCAGTATGGATGTGCTGTAAGAAAGGAAACAGCTGGCACTTCGAGCTTAACTGTATGCCAATTGTTCAGAAAAATCAGGGAAAAACAAATCTTTCCAAGGAGCTCAGAGAATCTGGGCATGTGCTGAATGCATTTGCAAAGGCTCTTGAGGAGTAACAATAGTAACTGGAACTTTTATAGCGCGTCAGAGTGCCTGTATCTGCAGCACTCCTTTTTACAGCCAAGAGAATGACAAAGGGCAGTGGAAGGAATGGAGAGCCAGAGGCACTACAGCAAGCTGAAAGAACAGCGAGCAGAACTGGGACTTCACTGGGTTCTGCTCATGAAGGCCCCATTCCAGGATCCCTGGGAAATTTAAGCTGGAATCACCAACACCCATTCTGTTCCTATTCCTTAAAATGCCCAGAAGTACTTGAGTTTACTGCTGTATTGATACAAGC